GCACATTCCTCTGGAGTAAGCTGCATGTGCAGGTGTGGCAGTTCTCTGTGACAGTGTTGCTGGCTAGTCCTTGTTTTCTTCTCTACATCAGTTATTAACAAAATGCTTTCCCATTTCATCAAGGGCAATTGGTAATTCAGAAACAGCTGTGAGGTACTTTGGCTGCATGGCTCCCAGAGAAGAAGATGGTTTTCTCTCTCCTGATGGAGTTTTTCAAAGAGATCGGAATTCCCGTGGGTTCAAACAACATTACACAACTCCTGATGAATCTGGATGAGTTTAAACATGTCTTAGGATGGTTGGAAATACCTGGTCAGGAACAATTGTTTTACTAAATAGTGCTGCTCAAAGATATAAGCACTTTACCAGTATTTGCAATTACTAACTTTTTAATGTCAGTCTGCACCAAGTGCTGTGACACCATTATTAGGCATTTCCTTGTATTTTGTTCTATGGAGAATGTTTCCATAAATGCACGAACACCAGTAGATGAAAAACGGAAGCAACAACACTATTACAGGAAAATTTCCAGGACTTGCTTGTGAAATGATCAACTGCTGCTGCTAGATTAAAGGACCCAAAATGAAACTTCTGAAATGCGAGGGTACTGCTCTAGACTGAGTGTTTCTTCTTACCTGAATATTTGTAGGCAAATGTGCTTTTAGACATTTTGACTTGAGTTTTGGAAGTAAGGCTGGGAATGCTCTCAGTTGATCTTTGTAGTAACACACCTAATTTAAAAGGAAAAAGACAGAGCGTTGCCTGAAAGAGTGTGGGAGGGGAGGCTCAGCTGCAACAGCAACAACAAAACAGACCAACTGGAACAGGACAGCATGTTGCCATTATGCTCTTCTCCCTAACCTGAAACAGCTGAAGTTGCTCACTTAAGCCTAGCCTTATTCTGATGAAATCAATGCCGCTTGACAGGTCTACATGTGGCTTTTAGTGTGTTGTGGTTTAGATGAGCAGTAACTGTGTAGATCAAAATGGCTGCGACATTTCCAGTACTACTAAGAAACCAATACTGTCACTTCCTTTCTCTTTCCTTATTAACCACAGATTGCTCTCTATTGCTTTTCTATCTGTGAAAATCCTCCCTCGAGTGTTGAAAGGGGCTGTGTTTGACAGGCACGTGCCCCAGCACGTCAGCACAGTGACACTTGGCTCGGCTCCAGCTGTCAAGCACAGCTGGCTGGCTTCCAAAGCACCTGGAAAAAGAGACCTTCAGGAAGTATGGCTTAGCCTGGTAGGTGTCCACGTGCTAGACACAGCTCTGATTGCCTCTTCTCAGAACAGATATAGAAGAGGTAGATGTGACACGAAAAGAAGTTGACAGGAATTATGTGGCCCAGGGAACAGTTTCTGTATGAGAAAAGACTACAGAGACGAGGACTGAGATGACTGCAGAGAGTTACAGCTGAATAGTTGTTCTTGGTTTATTTCCCTGCCCCATCATATATCCCTTACCTTGATGGCTTTTAAATTAGAATGGTGTTCATGTAGAGTTCACTTCATGAGGACTTAAAGCATGTGGAGAATGATGATCCAGTCTCTTTACATTTTCAGGAGGTTTTTGACAAAGTTTCCTATCAGAATTTTTGAGGGAAACTATGCAGGTAAGGTTAAGAGAGAAGGACAGAGCACGGACAGATGTTTGAAAGATAGCACAAAGAGGACAACAGTAGATAGTTCTCAGCATAGGGGGAGGTTTCAGGTGAGGTTCTGCAGGGATTCGAGCTGTTGAAAATAAGTGAGCTGGAAAAGGATATGAGCACTGAGGTTGAGAAAGTTTGCTGATGATAGAAATTACTTGGAGGATGGGGGACATGGAAAACAGATTGTGATGAGTTGTGGGAAACATTGTTGAGTGACCAGGCAATGAAACAAGAAGTGAAAATCGAGTTATATAAAGGAGAGGACATGAACAAAAAAAGTTACCCTGAACTGATGTATAAAATAACAGTCTTGAGTTGACCATTAAGACTGTCAGCCAAGATCTGGGGTTATAACATATGAAATCACTAGCTCAGCAGCAGTCAAAAAAGTAAATCATACGTCAGAGCTTATTAGGAGAGGAGCAGAGAAAGTCATTTGAATGCAAGAGTCACCCTGTGGACTCTGCATGTGCTTCTGGTCCGCTCTCCTCCATAAAGTGACAGTGAGACTGGAAGAGTTCAGAAGAGGAAAAAAAAAAAAAAAAAAGAAAAGGATCACCAAAGGCCAGTGCCTTCTCCTTTAAGAATACATGAGCTTTTTCCCACAGCCTGGGAAAAATATTATTTAGGATGGAAGTGATGTATGTCTACAAAATAGGTGTCATCCGGATGAATGGACGGGACTGAGCATTTACTGTTGACTGGGAGGAATCCAATGAAGCTAGTGGCAACCAGGTTCTTCACCCTCAGTCTCCCACCAACTCCAAAGCTTCACGCAAGAAAAAAGCTGACCTGCTGAACTTTGCTGAAGAGCACTGGCTGCTTAAAGTTGGCATAAATCCACGGGAAGACTGAGCAAAATACAGAGAAGAGATCTGCTGGGGCTGGTAAATGTGAAGAAAACATACATAGCTCAGGAAATCCCCTAAAGTAAATATAGTCAGAGGCTGGGACAGCATTCAGGGGAAGTGCTCACTCTTCCTGGCCTATTTACCACTGTGAAGAAAACACTCAGGTTTGGAGAATCTTTATTCAGATCTAGCTTGGCCAACCTTGTATGCTTACATTACATATGGTCAGTACAATATAGGCACTTAATACTACCACGTGTGTGAGGGGGCTGGCACGAATGTGCCACGTGGTATCCAGAAGTCTATCTTCATCATATGCGTTAATCTGAGATTCTTTATCTAACAGTCGAGCCCACTAAGCACTGCAGTTGATCCAATACAGTAACATCTCGTTTGATGTTGCAACTTCTGCTTTCGTATCCATTTCCTTCTTTCTCAAATATTCTGGTAACTGAACGCAGTAAAGATAAGGATGATTCCTCGCCTATACAACTGTGCTATTTGCATCTAGAAGCATCGGGGTTGGAAGAAGCCTTCAGGATCATCAAGTCAAACTGCTAACGTGGCCTACGGAGTCCCATCACCAAACCGTGTCCCTCAGAAGTTTTAAGCTGGTGTCTCTTTTCTCATAAGCTTTATTTCCTTCATGGATGTAATTAAGGAAGGATTTAGGAAGCTGTAGGTTTTCAGAATTTGAAATTAGGTTTTACTGTTAAAATAAAAAAGAAGAGGGATTATCTGATGGTCTTGATTGCTTTGATGGAGACGCCTCCTGGTGTGCTGTGTAACACCTTAGTTCCACCTTCTCCCAAGTCTCTGATGTGAACTCCTCTGCAGGAAGTAATGCATACAGGATATGCTGATATAGTTTCGGGAGCTGTCTTTAGGAAACAACACTAAGTATTCCACTGACCATGAATAATGTCTTTAGTCTCTCCACATTTTTAGAATATAAGGTTTTACTGTTGTGTTAACTGGTCAGGTCACTCTGACGTTGTGAAAAGCAAGAGGGAAATGGACTGTGCAGCACTGTGAGTCATTATTTACCCCCGAGTGTTCTTTCCTATGGAGTTAGTGTCTTCACTGAGCAGATGTTTTGACCTGGGAGGTCTTTGTGGTGGGACTGTGCTTGGCAGTAACTCGTAACTGGGATTTTTTTAATATGCATTGTAAATTCTTGCCAACCAAACAGTAACAAGAAATTTTCTTTTTAAGAGTCTGTTCAGGTATTGTGGATATATGTGATTTCACTCACTAATTTGACAGCCAAAGGGCTGGATCAGATATTTCTGGTTAGCGATAGAGAACGGAAGAATTTCCGGGTAAGCTGAGATTGTTTTCAATACCAAATACTCATCTGTCTTCTGGCAAGGAAAATCTCATGAGTATAAAATGCAGAAAATCATAAAATTCGGCTTCTACAAACCTGAAGATACTCTGAGGAATACAAATCATTTTGTTCATCTTCCAACAAACTGCTCCCCTCCAAAGCAACTAGTTATATGTGATCAGACTTTCATTTTTCTCTGCATTTGACTGTATTTTCTTTCGGACAGGGTTTTATTTGTCTTTCAGCCCCTCTTTAGCTAACTTGAAGTTGATTTCGTTATGTCCTTTAGGCAAGAATGTGCTTTCCCTACAACTCGTGCAGGTAATATTTTCTATTTTATTCCACTTCACTTTCATACACAAGAGTAATCAAACCAAGCCAAAATTCTTGCTTGGGTAATATATGGCCTGTGAGTCATACACACTGAAGCAGACACTTGGAACAGCATGGAGCAGCGCTGCTTCCCTGTCCAGCAGCCCTTCACCTCATACAGTGACAAACAGGAACATGTCTCTTTCCCTGCCGTAGCAATTCCCCGTCTGGAGCGTTAGATAACTCTGCCCCTTCCCAGCCTGGGCTTGGCATGTTTATTGCTCACAGTCCGTAAAGAAACCTAAGGGTGGGGCGTAACAAGGCTGCAGCATGCATGCTCTGTTTGCAGAGGGCCGAATGTCATTCCACAGTGACTCAGACTGTTTCTTATTCTGGCTACATTCCTTCAGTATCAAAGTGCAAAGTCAGCTGTTAGGTAAGTTTATCAAAGCAAGAAATTATGTAGCTAAGCAAGAAAAAATTATTCCAGTAAAGTTCAAGATAAGATTCCCAGATATCAAGAAGCAAAATCTTTTTTTTTTTTTTATTTTTTTTTATTTTTATGTCATGGCCCGTACATAGACAGTGCTTCTGCAGTTTTTTGGGAGGACTTTCTGGCTCTCCAACTGACAGGTACATCTTATACTCACAGTGTAGGGGATGCACCAAGCTCACCAGACCTGAATAGCAATGCTGGCTGGTGTGCAAGGGCAGGGAATAGATATAATTCCCTTTTGTCTCTAAATAGAGTAATAAAAATAGTCAGTTCCCTTTGATTTTAGGAAACTCCTTACTTTACATGTGGAAGCTACGCTGTAAAAAAAAAAAAAAAAAAAAAAAAAAGGCAATACGTATTTGTACTACTGTGGAATATTTTTATTTGCTCCTTTCCTCTTCTGGCATGTCTTGGCTTTAATATATTTGTAAGTACATGGAAAAGCCTAAGCTGCCAAGAAGACTTTCCAGTTGTCTAAGTCACTGTGCAACTGTACATCCTTTCGCATTATTCACAATCTGGCTTCATGGCTCAAAGGCACGAGTGTAGATCTCCCATTTGAAGGAGCAGGTTTGTCTATAATGAGGTTGAGCGTAGGCAGTACATTCCCTGGCCAATTAAACAACAACAAAAAAAGTAGCTGTTGGTACAAAGAGTGTTAAGCTTGGCTACGTGCTTTACTGTTTTATTAGCAACAATGGTATAATCTGCAATTAAATACCACTTGTGTTACCAACCGCTTGCAGGCAGGATGTCACTGTTTATACGAGCAAGAATAATTCTTCACGAAGAGTTGTGCACTCATTGAAGAGAATCCCTCGGGAAATAAAGATAAATTCTTTATTGTCAGCTAAGCTGCTAGCCGTAGTACTCAAGATACCTACAATGCGTATGGATTACGAGGTCAGCATTCAGATGTTGAGATGAAGCACCAGAAAGAATGGAAACATTCTTCTCTGTAGTCCTGTGTCTGAACATTACTTGAAATACCACTCAGGAGAGCAGTTTATGGGTTCTTCCTTCCAAAGAGTCTTCAGACGCTGGGCCCAAGCAAGCAGCATCTCCTTCCTTTTCTCCTCAGAGACATATTCGGGAGCGAAGCAGATGTGAGGCTCAAGGACTTTGACACCACAGAAGTGCATGATGCCATGCTAGATCCAAAGCAAACAGAGAAATGCCTCAGTTAGCTTTTCACTTTCAATTTGAGCATGTGCAGTATTCAGTTCTGAAACTTCCTCTGACCCGATACGGCAGGTTTTCTAATTCTGTGCGTTTATCAGGAGAAGGGAAATAAATTGCACAAGTTCATTGTTTGCCTTGGCAGCTTGTGTTGAAAGCTGGGCATTATGCAGAATGACATACAACACACTGAAAGATAAAGCCAACTTAATTTATTCTGCTCTGTGAAATTCATTTTTAAGTGCTACTAAATGCATAGAATTGTTCTCTTTGGCTGCCATTTTCTATTAAATTTGCAAAGATCAGAGACAGCCTGAAGTTCATTACGCTGCTTGAATCTCCATGGATTGTTCAGGGTTGCAGCACATTTCTCATCTCCTTTTATGTATTTTTTTAACCTTTTGCCTCCAGCATAGCCACACAATTCTGAATGAGTATTTGTGCCTTCGAAATCAGCTCAACTTGCCTTTTTCCCTCTCTGTGTTTCTGAATTTGCAGCTGCCTATAGCATTCTTTGTTAGGTTGACTTGCAAGCTGTGCAGCTAGGTAGCCTCGGAAGGGCACACAGCTAGTAATCAAAAGGGTTTGGAGAGCAGGGAATTTCCAGTAAAATCAAAACACATCCGTTGTATTGTATCAAACACTGGTCGTCGCAATTTGCCTTGCCACTTAAATTCCTGAAAGCACTACTTCTACCTCTGGCAAAAGGGTAGCGATAAGACAAGACATGCTAACTGTTGTATGCTGATTGTAAATGCCAGGATAATGTGCGAGTGCCCTCCTGTCCCGCATCCTACGTGAATCAGGTAGCTACAGGGAAAAGAAACCCTGTGTGCCAGGGCTAAAGGAAATCCTATTACACTAGAGAAATTAAAAAGATAGATATTATAAGCTTTCTCTAGGTTCCAGTTTGGAGGAAGAGGCACAAAACAAATTTAAAAGTCTGTGGACTCTTAAAAAGCCTCAGGATTTTAGGGCCCAACGATAACTTACAGATGCTTGTAACTGACTAATTATTTTCTATTATAGAGCTAACTATGAATGTATTTTATATCAAATAAGCATCACTACAGTTGCTAAAATAAATAATAAAAATTAATGCAAACAAATAATCAAATATTCATATGCTGTACCTGCATGGGCCACAGGAGATAGCGAATATCACCATTGATACCTCCTTTTGCATACATCTCTTTGCTTCCTCCAGTGGTGAAAGAAAAGAGGGCTAATTTATTCTAGAATTAAAAACAACAACAGCAAAAAAAAAATGCTTAAGAAGACTGTTTGAATAGTTCAAGAGAGATTCATGAGAAGCTGGGCAGCATCAGTTTCTGCAGGAGGTGTCCCCTTCCCCAGACCTTGAGTTTAGCAGTGGCTCCGAGTCACAGACTGAAGGCATGCACCTCAACAGCAGACTGCATGCACAGGGCTTTGGGCAGAGGCTGATTAAAAAGAAAAGGAATTACGTGTACTGACAGCCTTGTATGAAGCAGGGCTGACCCTTGTTCTCTCCTATGAAATGTTTGGAAAACTGGCTGGAAAGCACTTCACTACTGTGGATATCTTTATTCCTCGCTTTCCTGAAAGCAAAAATTGTGTGCTACAGTCCCTGTTCAGATCTGGGCTTGCTCCTCACTTTTGGAACATTCAGGTGTTCTAAAACCACATTTTTTCTTCTAATCCTGTAACTCTGGTGTTGGCCATGGGCTGGTGCTCAGCACTTCTCTCTGTCTTACCTCCCATAATTAAAATACTTTTTTTTGGGGGGGTGGTATGATGGTGCAGTATCACAACTGCTTTGCTTCTAATTATATGGGGGACAATGCATTACTAGAGCTTTATTATTGAGAGCTGTCAGAATGGCCACTTCATCAAATTAGGATCATTTTCCAGTTACTTTCTGACACCTGAACTGTGTTCCTTATCTATATGTGTTCTCCATATCCTAACCATGAACACAACAGCTTAAACCTTTACCTCAAAAATTAACCATACAGGTTTTTATACTAAAATACACTTTTCTTTTTCGTAGACTTTCCATGGATACAAAGTTTCTACCTCACATTTTGTTCATGTACTTTCCTGTTTATGCATGTCCGAATATTTTACCTATAGAATTGTCATTACAGAGCTGTAAGAAGAGTGCTAAGCTTGACCTAAACCCATGGCTTTTCTTAGTTTGTGTAGAATAAGCAAGGACTGACTGAAAATAAGAGTCTGTCACCAATACTTAAGCCAAGCTTCCCCCACGCGCTTTCCTGAAGTATTTTTATTTTGAAGATAAAGTTTCTGTTGATGCATGATGTTGATGGATGATGTTAATCATCCAGCTACTCTGGAATACCGTGGTGTATCAAGGGCTAGGCACTAGCTGTCTGTTTGGAAACATTGACCTGCTACAGCCCCACTGGCCTTAACTAGTATATTTAGACTTCTGTAATAATCAAGCACAACTGCTTCAAGGTGCATGGCACTTGCCTTCTTCCCCTTCAGCTATAAAGTGATTCATTTTATTAATGTCTCCCTTTTGCAACGTTTTGCAGAGAACTCATATCTGGAAAGCGTTTTGGAGAGAGCTGAGGGAATCAGTCCTTGTGATAGACTAGGAAGAAGTTTTTGTACCTCCTTGTGCTACCATGAGCAATTGTTGCATGCTGCTCAGGATACATTTGGATTGATAAGAAGTTCAACTTCCAAGACCTGAATTAATGCAAGTCTAATAGTGAAGGCTAGAATAAGCCACAGGTTTCAAGAAAATAAGTCATTCCTTCACAGAAAAAGCCATGGTCTGCTTTCAGGAGAGCTGAAAGTGAAAGCTTTATACAAACATAATGGGAAAGAAAGACCACTACTGAAGTGCACTGCAAAGATCTCGGTCTTAATAAAACACTTTCAGAAGCATACCTTCAGCAAACCGGAATCATAACAGTTGGGGAATTCGTGAGCAAATCCTTGGACCAAGACTCTGTCCATCCAGCCCTTCATGATTGCTGGCATGCTGAACCAGTACAAGGGAAACTAAACAAAAAGGAAATTACCTTGTTAATACAGAGAATCTAGGTCATCCTAAGGCCTGGTCTGTAGGCAGATTCCTGTTCTCTTAATCTGTTCAGACCTTGTACGTGCCTTCTTCCAGGAAGGAGAGGCAGTAACTTTGCTTGGCAAAAATAACTGAAGTGCTCTCTGTTTGTGGTAGTCTCAGGTACCTAGCTAAACAGCTGCAGTGCATCGACACCATGGAGAATGTGAGGGCTTCCACAGAAGTGAAAGCTGGAAAACAATAAGACAGGAAGGTGTCACTTAATTCAGACTTAAGGCTGTACAGAATTGCATCTCTGATGGTCCAAATGCAAAAGGAACGTATAAGCTAATGGTTAGTGCTGCCAAAATGGCCACAGAGAGCCCTGTAACTGGGACTGACATCTGGTGATCAGTTCTGACCTGACAGTCCTCTGACAAGTGCCGTAGTATCTGACGTGATAACCCCTCCTGAGAAGAAAGCCTCCTCTCTAACAGTAGGGCTCTGTTCCTCGATCCTCCAGTTAGCCCATGGGTCTACAGCCTAAAATCATCGTGTCTTATTTGCATTGTCTTGAACGCTTAATGGACTTCTGTTCTAGGATGAATTGCTCTTCTGAAACCTTTGTACACTGTGCAGTGTGAAAGAAGAAATTCTATTAGAAGCTTATGTGCATATGGCTTAAATCAAGATGGAAACAGCGTAGAAATGGCCAGTCACCATGATCTTTGGAAGTGGTGAGCTTAGGCTATAGTAAATTTTAAATTACTCTGCAGTATCTTTAAGAGGCTTTTTTCTTTCTTTTCTTTTCTTTCTGATTTTTATTTTATTTTATTTATTTATTTTTCTGCACCAGAACACACTCAACTCCGCATAGTATTTTAAGGACAGAAAGTAGAAAGCAACCACTTCCTTCCGGGGATGTTTTAGTAATCTCAGAAGCAATATTGTGAAAATTACAACAGCATATGTTGAAATGCGTGCTTGAGATATAGTCACATCCTAGATTTCATCTAGAACGGGACAGTGGAATATAGATCGGCTGTGCCTAAGGCCATCAGTCTGATTGTGAATATGGTCAGATTTTTTTTTTGTTTTTATTACACAGAGCCTCCCAGTCATCAGCACTCTGGAGGACAGTACATTGTGTACTTTATCCTTGCCATTGACTGCATTTGCACAAGTATGTGCCATGTTTCACCCTGCTGATCCCACTCTTTCATTTAGGAGCTACTCTGCATCCAAGCATCTGTCTCACACAGGGAACTTTGTTTCTGCGTTGTGGGGCTAGTTTTGCTTTCTGTGATATCCCTGTGCCCCGTGCACACCAAAGACGTAACCGGCAGAGAGGAGAGCAGGGGTGAGGTGTTAGCGAGTCCAGGCAGTGCTTCTGCAACTCAGCAAGGGACCAGGGCAGCACAATTGGGAAAGTCAGAATTCCCCAGGCCTGCTGGCTGCTCCCAGCTGCTTGCCCAGAAAAGAAGCCATGCCCCTGCTGGCCTGCCTGATAGCCATGGTCGTATACCTCTTTGTGCATCCAGATGTTGAGTTTGGCCCAGTACTGGTGAGTCACTGGATTTGCTGTCATAGCTACTCAAGTAATCGTACTACTGATCTGTGCTTGTTACTCTACTGCTGCTTAGAGATAAAGTCCTTGTCCCTACAGCTGATGGTTGGGTGTCTGTTACCATATCCCAAGCTTAAAACTTGGCAGGGTCACCTCAAGGCCCAACACACTCTTCTGTGTGTAGATCTATGCTTGCTTTTCTTGCGCTCCCAGACAAGAGGATACCGTCAGGCTGCCTGATAATACGGCGTGGTTCTTATATATAGAATTATAGTATTATTTTGCACTCGATCCTTTCCGATCTGAGTTGCTCCTTGCAATTATTTTAGAGTGCAGGTGGCGTGAGGAGCAGTCTTCACAAAAGTAGTCTGATCGTGTAGTTTTTGAATATTATTTTTTTAAGTGAAGTACAGTATGAATTTTACTTGGGTGTTTTAAAGATCTGATTTCAGATGTCTTCCTAGTCACCAAAAATGTCAGCATGGAGCCATTATTTGTGTGAAAAATTCATATTGTGCCAGAACTAATAATACTCACACATGATCTAGTGTGTTTGATATTTTTTTTTCTAAAAACATATATCATATCAGAATAGCCTGACACCTTGAAATTGCTATGCTGGGTAAAAACTATTCTATGTAGATGGCTGAGCTACCACCTGTTTTTACTCTGGCTAGATGCAGTGTTCCTAATGAAATCTGTAATCTTCTTGCTTACTGCTGCTTTTGGTTTACAACTGAAACCTTTTAATACAATTTAAAATGATGACCTGAAAAATCAGCAAGTCTGCTTCCTGCACCTTCTTTTGCTCTTCAATCAAATCATTGGACAAACCTCCTCTCTTGTAAGCTTCCCAGGTCTCCACTCCGTAATTGAACTCATCTGAGTTGTGCAAGCAATCTGTGGATAGAAGGGCATGGTCACTGCTTTCTCCATTCCTAGCCCTGTAGCCAAGTAAGAATTAAACACAGGTTGTGATCTACAGTTCTGAATCGAGGTACTACTTTCTGATTTTGTCCCACTTTTTTTTTTTTTTTTTTTAATGCTATTCCGTATCATCCCAGCTGACAGATGATGACTTGATTGTAAACTGGAGAGGGATAGATTATCTCAGAGTACTAAAACTTTTACCTTTCTGTAGGAGACAGAATATGAGGTGCAAAAAGAGGACCTCAGCATGGCTCTAGACTCTGGTGATGCAGGTAGATGATTTCAGAGGATTTAAGATAATTTTGCTAATTGCTCTGCCTCTGCATTAGGGATCGCTGAAACCACTCCGCAGTCACAAGCACTATGTAGCTGCTTTTCAGCCTCTCTGGAAACTCAGCAGGGGCTGGGGGAACCAGTAAAGGCTGACTCTGCAGACTCTGCTACAGTTGGGTGAGCTGAGCCAACTGTGTCTGAACCAGACATTCATTCCTGCTGATTCAACTAGCAGATTCTCAGCCTCTAGCAGAAGGACAGGTGACAAGCAGTGGAAGGCAGAAGTAGTAACCTCGTCAACGAAGCGAAGTACATCATAGAATGGGATCGGAAACTTGCATCAGAAGTTGATTCTGGCAAGTGCTAATGCATTTTTGCCTCTCAGTAACTAACCTTACTGTGAGTCAAGGTTCGTATTCATGAGTGGACTTTTAGAAATGCTTACATGTCATCATTAACAATTTTTTATTTTTTTTTTTCCGATGCTTGCATTAGGCCTGTGCTATTTCTTTTTGATTCTAGTTCTAAAGAATTCTTGTTCTAAAGTTCTCTCAGATTATGTCATAGCTTTGCTTTTCCTGACCAGAAAAAGTACTGGGACTAAATGCTATTAAGAGCACGGTGGAGCTTTCTTAATCATGAAAAAATTCCATGAGCCTAACAAGATCATTGCTATTATTCTCAAGTCTCAGCTGCAACCTCTAGTCATTTTTAATAATCATGCACTATCAAGGTTGCTGGAAGGTGACAAAACAACTCAAAAGCCTGTGTACTTTAGTGCCTGGAGCTAATTTGCTGTAGGCATTTGTAACATTGTTCATTAAGAGAACATGTTTCGTTGAATGTCTCTTCAGTTGATTGCAAGTACCAGGAAAACAATACCATTCCTCATTCATTTTGGTCTAAAAGCAAAACAGTTTTACAGGTCTGCACTACACGTGTTTTCTCTCTCTAATTGAGGAGCTGTTTTTCATCAGATTTGTTTAAAAACAGGTGATAGTTATGTTCCTACACTGGCATTTCTTGGTCAGTGCTTACAGAAAATAAAAAACTGGGTCTTGGGGTATATTTGTACAAAATAATAGCAACTATTTTTCAGAATGCACCTAACAGCATGGGTTCTAGCTTGTCAGTGCAACAGCATAGATAAGATTAATATCAGTCTCAAAAAAAAAAAAAAAAAAAAAAAGTATTTTGGCTAGACTTACCAACAATGTCATTTCTTGTTGCTCTTGGCTCAAACTGCATCGCGTATAAATCAGACACCGTGACAGTGCAGCCCTGTTTGCTTAATTCTTCCACAGCAACCGTCTTCAAAGCTCCATTCAAAGACTTGGGCTCTTGGTGTGCATAGACTATCAGGACTTTTCTCCCTGGAGGCAGAAAGAAAAGCAGAAGACACCTTTGATTTAGGCAGATACGAAAGAGTTTGTGGAGCCAGGGCCAGGTTCTTTGTTTTTCTGTACTGTGATTTCCAAGCAGTGCAGAGCTGATAGTGGCAGCGTTTGACTCATGCCCAGCAGAGGAACTAATCAGTAAATGCCTCCCCACCCCTTCAGCAATATTGTGCTATGCTGGGTTTTCCTAGGCAGGGCTCAGTGGGCAGTAGGTGCCTTTCCAGAGCAGGCCACACTGCCCTACATCAGTGCAACTCGGGGCTTTCCCACTTCTCCTCTGGCATGGTCCATTCTCTTGAGCCAGCACTTGTGTTCAGCTCATTCCTTCAAAAACTCTCTCCTTACACAACAACAAAACAAAAAAGCAAACAGCTTTCTGCTGGCTTAGCTCCCTGAGCAGAGTCCGATAAGCTACAGAGCAAGAGTGAGGGACAGGATGGGATCAAAGCAGTGCTAATTTATGTTTTCTCAGACGGTTGTGGAAACAATTTCTGAGAGTTCAGAGCATCCTCCTACTGCATTGCGGGTTCCCTACGTCTTCTGTTGCGGTGCTGTGCAAGTGGCAACCTCAGGGTAGATGTTTCAGATGCCACTGTCCCACTTCAGCATCTTCACAGTGACTTCAGTAGAAAAAAATGTGATTTTTTTCTTAGATGTGTCAATGAGCTGTCTGTTGTATCTCTGAATAAAGCAGATTTAATCTAAAGTGATTAATCTAAACTGAGTATGTTAGGATGTGGCTGCTTAAACTGATCCACAAGGTGTATTAGAGCTTGCTTGTTCAAAATGTCATGGTATATGGCCCATTCAACTTTAATAATTCACTAAAAAAATAATAATTCATCACTGAACACAAGGGAAAGGTAAAATATTCTTATGGGGTAATATGTTTGTACATACATAGATAAGAGGATTTCCAGGGATTATTGAAAATGTCTGGATCTGCAAAATATGCAGCTCTTGGCTCCTTTCTGCCGATCTGTAACAGGTATCTCCTGAATTCAGTGGACATGAGCTGCATGTCCCAGACCACCATCAGGGCAGCAGGTAAGTTTGCGGTGTCAGAGGTACAAGAACCAGTGCTGAAGGTTTGAAAAAACAATACTTTTTTTTTTTTTAACATAAATTATAAGAGGTAGTGATTTCTACTAGCTTTGCCAGAAGTCTACTACAATTTGTGGTTAGATGCTACCACAAATTTAACAAGTGTATAAACAATTTAAAGCACTGCTCGCTCACTCCTTGTAGGAGCAGTTGCTTTTTTGCTGGTCTCGCTAGCTCTCAGCAAATAAGCAGCTCAGTGGCTGGGGATGACGAGCTCAGAGATGCCAGAGGATTAATTCTGCAAGGTGCTAGTTTGTTTCCCTTGCAGTGGAGTTGAGGGCACTCGAACAGTGGAGAGATTGGAGTTTTCAAATGCATCCTTTACTGAAGAAATTGAGGTGATTTGAAAAAAAAATAAAAATGCTTTAGTATCACAAGTAAACCCTGCAGGTGTTCCATATAGCAGCGTGCCCAGGACCGAAGTGAATAGCATCCTTATTGGTATTTTTTCTTACCTGCCATTTTCCAGCAGCACTCGGTAGCTTCTGTCCTGAGAATCCAGCACGGCCTGTGAACTCAAACAGCAGATTTGCTCGTGTTGTAAGCACCACGAGGAGGTGCACGGGCAGCTACCAGCACGGTACCACCTGGCTGGGAGCGCCGTGCTGTGTGGTGCCAAACGGGCTGCAGGCCTGCGGGAGGGCAGGCAGGCCGTACGTGTGCTCTTCTGGCAAATATTGCTGGGCTGGCTGACCTCTGCTCAGCGAGCACGTCCCCTCACATTCAGCTTTTGGCAGAGGCCACAGAGTGCCCGGTGGAGCTGTTGCTGCTGCGCTTAGCAAAGAGCAGCTCCCCGCTCGGTTAACGTGGACGTGCTGCGTCACTCTCCAAAGCCTCCACAAAGGAAAAGGCGGAGAGCGCTCTCGTTTTTTCCTCTAAAAACTGGTGTCAGTCCCATTCACCCCCCCGTCCCTCCCGCACAGCCCTGCCACCCACCCGGGGCAGCGCCGTGGCCCCCCTGCCTCCCCCAGGGCTTTACCCACAGCGGTGCTGGGGCTCGGTTCGGACTGGAGAAACCGGGGCAGACACCAGCAGATTGGGCCCCTGGCACCGAGTGACAGAGCCACCCGCGTCCTCTCGCAGCGGGTGTGCAGAAAACCTCTGTGCAAACCTTGCCCTGCTGGTGTTTTCCACCGGCTGTGCTGTGTTAGGGGAGACACAAAGCCCTCAGCTCTCTCCCTGGCTCCTCCAGGAGAAGGTAACACACACAGTGCTGCTGGCACTGGGGACAGCAGTATCCAGAAATGGGAAGTGACCCTAGCGGAAACTTGGGGCTGCAGCAGTTGCTCACCAACCGCCAGCGTGCTGAGCATAAAGCCAGAGCCCAGATTCTGCTGGGTGATGCTCCTCTGCTTATGTGGGAAGCAGTGTGGTAAAAAACTGGGCAGGGACTCAGGAAACACAGCCTCAGTTTACTTTCTCTCAGGTAGGATGCTTTATTTTTGTCTTTTCATCCCCTCTGGTAACAGAGTCAAAAATATTTATTCTCCTTTATCCGCCCTCCCCCCTAAGCATAAAGTCTAGTTGTGGTAAGAGAAGGGAAACTAAAGGAAAAATGCTAGTAGTTTACATACTGTACCTGGACAACATATATATGTTTGACATACCATATAACGTAATAACTCACAGAGATAGCAAAGAAAAAAAATTGTGCTGTGCCTGTACTTTAGGGAGTAAAGAAACAAAAAACCCCACCTTATTCCTTGCTAAGGCTGTAAAAGTTTGCATGATTAGTTCCCATGTTAATTCCTAAAATCCATTCTTCTCAAATATTGTTGGACTTATCTCTAATAATTTTATAAAATTAAAAAAAATATATCTCCTTTCAATTTCCTGCTTGTCTTTGAACAAGGCTACTTATAAGGATTTCAGCAGCCAGATCCAGCTATTTCTTAGCAATCACATGAGCATGTTTATTAGGGCTCTTAAGAGAAATTTCAGGGTGATTTGGGGAAACCATGTATTTTTGCATTTTGGGCAAATCTGTAAGACAGAGTGGAGCTTCTTATAGCCTCCTTCGCCCTCTTCTACTGCTCCTATATTTGTAAAGTTAACACTCAGGAAAGTGTAACAGTAGTTGAAACATCCTCACGGGACAATGCACCTCTGCAAGGAGAATTTTGTTTTGCAGATTGGGAGTGTTTCTTAATTAATTTATTAATTTTTTAATAGCATTTTCTATTGCTTTCTCCAGTCCTCACTTAAAATAATATTTTTTTTAACATTTTTTCTCTCTAAGGAATTAAGTGCTAATTAGCAATGACAAAAAGTAGTTGCGACTAAGCTGGAAGAAAATTCTCCTGTCCCTGTCAGCCATCCATGAGCATGGATTGAGTGAGTCATGCTTTATAAGAAATTTGACTGTTTACAACCTCATTGACTGTTGGCACAGATTGTTTTTGTCTCTAACACAAGACAGAGAACGCAAGAAAATGAAAATGACAGCAGAGATTCAGACCAAGGGTCCATTCCACCTAGTATCCTCTCTTTAACCCTGCTCACAAGTATCTGGCTACGAAAGAGTAAAAGCAGAGTAAGCATGTAGGATATACACTCTGCTGGTTTCTCAGACTGCAACTATCTTTGTCTCAGACTTGAACATGTAGTTTGTATGGTAACCTCCAGTTTGCCTCTCTGCACAAGATACTTTGCCCAATCTCCCTGTGAATCCATGCCAATTGTGCAATGTCCCTGGCAAGGACTCGCAGAGATTTGTTTTCTGCTGTGTGAAGAGCAACCCCTTTTGTCTGTTTTGCATCTGGTTCCTATCAGGTTCATTTGATGCCCTTTGGTTCTTGCATTGGGTGTGACAGAGCAACAATCCATCTGTGCTTGTCTCCTCTGTCCAAAGGTGATTTTGTGGACTTGTGTCATGTGCCTCCCAAATTTCATCTTTTCCAGACAGAAGAGTGTTCTTCAGGTGCTCTTTGTTTGGAAAGTCTTCTGTGCTTTCAGTCATTCTCATTGCTCTTCTCTGCACTTTTCCAGTTCTGCTGTATCATTTCTTGAAATGAGGGAACCAGATCTGCAGATAACATTCACAGTATGGAGGCACCTTGGATTTACCTGGCTGTGTAATGATTTTCTCTCTTCTGATCCTAATAACTATTACCATATGATTTGCTTTTTTTATTGGCTACCAAGTGCTGAGCTGATGCTTACATGGAATTATCTGTGGTTATTAGACAGCTTTACTCCTGGTTGATGGTAGTCAGCTCAGAGCCCCTTATTTTAAATGTGAGGCCAGGTTTCTTTGTGTCCCATGAGCATTTTTTAAGATTTAAAGAGACTGAAAATAATTACGAATCGTCTCGTCTCCTGGGTGCAGTCTAGAACACTGTGGTGGTCTGTCATCAGATCCTGCTGAAGGTGTTTCACTGCAGAAAAAAATACCTTAGGATTTGGTGAAGAAACATAAATGTAGGCATAATTTTGTAGTCACTGGCATGACCTTGAAACATGAAGGCTCCAGTCCTTGTGCCAACAATTGCTGAAACACGAAACAGCTGTTGGGTGGACACACAACTCCTATTATGCTATATAGAAGAAAAACCCCTATGCTTTCTTTACCTAAGGTTAGGCATCAGCTGGGTGGGAGTTTTGGGAGTAGGTCTTCTGAACTCAGGAGTTTCATTTTTGCCTAAATGTCATTTATATGATTTAACTTTTTTTTTAAAGTATCTGGCCTAGAAAGAAAAGAAAATTAGTAGTTTTGTCACAGTTCCCCTCTGAGAACTCATTCGTTTCTGCTACAAAGAAACACAGTCAGCATTAACTGAAGGAAAAGAGACAGTTACTATAAATAGGAAACTGTTTCATGTTAAGGTAAATAGTTATAAAGAAAATTGAAACATAAGACACTGTACCTGGAAATCTTGGGGAGGTAGCCTTAATTCAAGAACTTCCATTGAATACTAACCCTATCTTTTTCCATTTCATTTTAAAATATATTTTATTTCCCTTTTCAGATAATTCTGTTGTTGTACTTCTAGGGCTGTTGTATTGGAATTCCTCCACAGGCTTGGAGATCACTCAGATGAATAACCATAATGTCACAAAGCAAGACTGAGAGATGAAAAATAATTGAAAATAAAGTATCCAAGAAAATAGAAAGTACGAGAAAGGCAGGAAAGTAGTTGTGTCAGGAAAGTGATCAATTATAGGGAGATTAGTAGTGAGATGGAATCAAGAGCTCAGTGTGGATGTAGGTGGTTTTCAGAGGCCAAACCTTGCCAAATATTGGTTAAGAAAATCTGTTAATCAGTAACGAGGCTGATTTGACAATTTGATTTTATCTGCTAGGGAAAAAAAAAAAAAAGGTATCCTGCAAAATTGGAAGGGCCATATAACTAAAAAAGGGAAGAATCATTCATATGACTTTCTTCATCAGAAGTTGATTCCAGATTTTCTTCCCTAGGATGGAGACATATTCCACTGCGTTCTTCCTTTCCTTTGATGAGATACAAGGTCATGCTGACCACAAACTATTTTCCGCCTCTTCCTTCAGAAGTTCACAGGTAGAGTGATGATTTGGATAGCCTTGAGCTGTCAAATGGTATTCTGTAAATGGTATTTGGGCACATTTCTACCTGCAGTTTAGTTCCCAAGTGTTTTATGCTTCTTTGAAACCATCTGCTCTCCTTAATGAGGCCATTAATAATTTCTTGAATTGTTACCAGTGATGTCCCATGAGCAATCACTAATTTTAAGACACAAAGCTATATTCTGCACACAAACAAAGCTCCAGTTTTGTACAAGCTGTTTTAAAATTATCTCTGTTTTGCTGAGAAGCTTTTGTATTCAATTTTCAATACTAAATATCTACTGATAATATTGTTCTGAAGTTACTGAATTTACTAATAAAAAATGCCCTTGGTCATAAGATGTATATTACCCAGCTAGGAACTGGAGAGAACTAGTTCCTGACTTGAAATAATTGTCCATTGGATATCGCTTCAGGTAACTAAATGTCCTGAAACTGTAATGGTCCCTTTGAACAGTGACAGGGCGTTAAAGTACTGTGATTGGTTTAGGAAGCCACTTCAAAGATGCTGTAGTGGTGAAAATGTTACTATGTAAGGGATTACAGTCTACCTCTCTCTTCTCACTCTACCCCAAACCCACATAACTGCTCTCCATATAGGTAGGCAAGCAGGTAGGATTCATCTTTCCTAGTTTTAGCCACGTAAAATTTAGGACTTCTTCTCTAAACTCTCTGTAGTTGAATTCATCACCTTCAGATGCAACTCCTTTCACTTATCTTTGATGCTAGTAGAAAGAGAATCACTGCTTGGCTTACACAGGCATCCAACATCTAGGTGGCTACAGGGAGATAAATACAATCCTCCCCTGTGAGTTTCAGAAGACCTGGACTCCTGCAACCTTTTGAGTGACAGCTGTAGTCAGGGATATATATAAAAAACAAAACAAAACAGGTTCTCCAAGTGCATAAAACCTAGCTAACATTGAGGGGTAAAGAGATGAGAGATTTTTGTGTTTCACTATTGCACTGAGGCTAATCACTGTCTGGTACTTGGTGCTGTAAGAACAGTGTTATAAAATAACACGTTGGATAGCATGAGTCAGAAGCTATAAGACAGAGAGTTGCTGGGAAGTGGTTAGACTGAGTCTAGTGCCTATTGCTGTGGTGGTGCCAGCAAAGTTTATATAGTGAACAAAGTACTGGAGAAGCAGAAGGATGAAAAACCTGCAGATAAGAATGTGGCTGCAGAGAAAAGGAACTAGGCAGAGCTACAAGCAGACATGGCACCAAGAGAGCACACTTAAATGAAATGAGTTTTCTGGGTCAAAACACTGACGTGCTAGCATAGGGACACAGGGAAGTCTGCAGTGCTACTTCATGAGTCAAGCTGCTTTAAGAACAAAGACCGTAATTCCCCAAATGCATCTAAATAATATTTCCTACTATAGCATGTAGCATCCTGTAAGAAAAAGAATTTAAAAGTTGATCATCAATCAGTGGTTAAAAAAAAAAAAAAAAAAAAAAAAGACAAAGTAGAACAGGTCAAAAAAGAGCACCTGCATATCTAAGAACAATTTATTACTTTTATTCAAATTCTCTTCTAATATCTTATGAGCAGTGAACATTTTTGAGTTGATTATAGGATAAAGATAAGAAAATGCATTTGAGATACATGCAGAAGAAGAAGAAATAGCCATCACATTTTATTGCATCCAAGTCCATTTATGGCCTGATTCTAAAATCTACATTTTACGATTATGTTATTGTATATTATAATTAAACTCTTTCAAGTTCAAGAACTAAACTACTTTGAAATAATCAGCTTTGTTGCTTCAAGTCAACAGTGCATTGAGTCATTAACACAGTGAAGAACATAATAGATGCCAGTGTTTTTGCAAACACAAACAGCACTTACATGGATCGGTTACTTCAGCTACTGAGCTAGATTAGCATTTGTGGGTTTTTCTCTTCTCTACTTTAGCATATGATACTGTTTGGTGATCCTTAATACCTGTTGTTTAAGTTCATGTGGGAATGCGAGTATCATAGTTTTGTGTGGCGTGTTTTCTATGTACAAATCATAAAACATTGGTTAGGGTGTAAGGTACAGTCATCTATCTTAGAAATTAAACAAATTAGAATAATCATATCATAATATCGTATTGTATATGACAACTCTGCAGGAACGACTTTAACTTTCTGTATACCTTTTCCTAGGATTAATATCAAGTTAATTGTATCCATTGTTCTGTCTCTGGAATAATATATTAAGATTTAAAAATATCATGTGTCTGAAGGATATCAGTTGTGCCCTCTAGTGCCTAGTGCAAGGGTTTGCATTTTTAGCAGAGACCAGTAAAGCGAAGTGAAGCCTTCATCTAGATCAAGTTTTTAATCTTCAACACAAGTTCTCTTATAGAGGAAATGTTTTAAGAGCATTTGTCACCAGTGAGAATAAGCAGTAAGGAAAAACAATACTAACAAATCAGCATGTAAGAGAAATTCTCTTCAATATTAGTTTTCTGTGAATATTACAAAGAACAAAGCCCCTGATACAGCAGTTCTGAACCAGCAAATATTACAATTCTACACTGAAAACGGAAAAGAAGAGAAATGGAGTAGTAATATCCTACTGTTTGTCCCGCATCAGTCTGTACCACCATACGCATCACACCAGCACTGTGGTTACTCCTAGGCTTGTTTTGTCAGGTAGTAAAAAGGAGACAGTCGGCCCCATATTGATCTCTCTCCTTAGTTGACAGGTTTGTGCAACAGGAAGGAAGGAAGCAGGAGGACTGTATGACTAACAGCCTTGTACTGTGACCTGTTTTTCTTCACAGTCTCTCTTGTCTGGGAGTGAGTAACAGAAATTGAAAATGGTAACTTCTTGGGCTAAAAACTCTACACTATATCTAAATGAAAAACGAACCAGCAACAGGAATAGTGTCCTAGGAAACAATTCTGATATGTTGTTTAGGATGTTTTTAAACCTTCTGATGTTAAATATTTAATATTACTAAGATATACTAGAGGTCTTTTAAATATATATTTAATGCTTTTATCAATTTACAACTTAATTGCGTCTTCTACTGGAATATCTTTGCCAAGAAGTTGGGTGAATAATTCATACAAGTACAACTTCTAGGATACATAAATGTGCTACTTTTAATTAGTAATCTCTTCTGCACTTTTTGATTCAGAAGTCTGGCCTGAGACACTCATTTGAACACAGACTCAAATTGCAAATCTGGGGAGAAGGGGGGAGAATGAGAGTAATTTTTTGACGCCAACAATTCTGCTCTTTGATGAATTAAAAACTTGGGAGACCTATTTTTGTAGTCATTCCACATCAAGATGACACTCTTTTTTTATATTGAAGTTGATACTCTTCTAGATTTGGGAAATGAGGTGAAAAATGAGCATAGCTGCTGGTTGAAGTCTGTTAGGGTAAGGGGTGAACATAATTCTACAAAGCTGATAAACTCCAGTTGGGTATCAGCAGCTACATAAGGTGCTGCCTTAGGTGAGTCCAGCGATGTGTGACATAGCGTATTTCAGAAGCAATTTATTTTGTATATTCTTTCCAAAGGGATTTGTATCGGTTTCTCTTACATGCCAGAGTATTTAGATGAGATATCTGCTGACTAGTCCTTCCATGGAGTTGCAAAGCACCTGGGAAGAAAGTCAGCAAAATGAGAGGGAGCACCCACTTGCCCAGCATGCCATGAGCCTGGCCTAGCAAGGTTCATTAGGTTGTACTCATGATAGTAACTTGGTTATTGCTTCCCAGTTATCCATTGATTTGGGATCAGGCTGTAATATAGGATTGAGTCTCCTGTACATGAATATATCATCCAATGATGTTAACTGCCATCAAAGCAAACAATGGCTGAACATTTGGCTAACAGGTTGAACCCAAAGGGCTCTAGTAAATGGAGGTACATGAGGCTGGTGGCCAGTCACTAGTGGGGTTCTGTGGGGCTCCACTTTAGGGCCAGTTCTCTTCAGTGTTTGTATAAATGACCTGGATGCAGGACTTGAATGCATATTAACTAAGTTTGCAAATGTTAATAAGTCAAGAGTAACAGTTGACTCCCTTGAGAGTGGAGAGGCCTTGCAGAGAGACCTTGACAAATTAGAGGGCTGGGCAGTCACCAACAGCTTGAAGTGTAAGAAGAGCAAGGGCTGGATTCTGTGCCAGGGAAGGGGCAGCCCTGCTATATGAACAGACTGGGGGACAAGAGGCTGGAGAGCAGTTCCGCAGAAAGGGATCTGGGGATTCTGGTCAATAGCAAGTTGAATATGAGCCAGGAGCATGCCCTGGCAGCCAAAAGGGTCAGCCGTGTCCTGAGGTGCACCAAGCATGACATTACTAGCTGGTCAAGGGAAGGGATTGTCCCGCTCTGCTCTGGTGCGGCCTCTCCTCCAGTACTGTGTGCGGTTCTGGGCACTGCAATTTAAGAAGGACATTAAACTGTTAAAGAGAGTCCAAAGAAGGGCTACAGAGACAGTGAAGGGTCTGGAGGGGAAGACGTATGAGGAGTGGCTGAGGTCCCTGGGTTTGTTCAGCCCCAAGCAGAGCAGGCTGAGGGGAGGCCTCATGGCGGCCTGCAGCTCCCTCATGAGGGGAGCGGAGGGGCAGGCGCTGAGCTCTGCTCTCTGGGGACAGCAACAGGACCCGAGGGGACAGCATGGAGCTGGGACAGGGGAGGGTCAGGCTGGGGGTTAGGGAAAGGGTCTGCACCCAGAGGTGGTCCAGCACTGGGACAGGCTCTCTAGAGCAGTGGGCACAGCACTGAGCCTGTTGGAGTTCAAGAGGCACTTGGACAACGCTCTCAGACACACAGTCTGATTTTTTGAGTATTCCTGTGTGAAGCCAGGAGTTGGATTCAATGACCCTTGAAGTTCCCTTCCAATTCAGAATATTCTATGATTCCAAAAAAAAAGTTTTAGTGTACAGTCTCCTAACCAAGCTCAAAATTAACAGCCTAGAGTTGGAAATGGTGAGCAAGTCAGTGATGACTAGCTTCAAAACAAATACAACGAAGCTGATGTTCAAAATAATTGTAACAGTGCATAATTCTGGGGGAAGTCTCTTCTGAATTTATGCCACACAAGGAATCTCTAAGGCTTCAAAAGGAGCAAAGAAACATTTCTTGGTCTTTAGCCTCCCAACATTAAATAATTCAGCCAGGGGTGAACAGTAGAAAAGGGAGGACATTGCTTGAACAGTCAGAGCCCGGAGGAGGGTGCTGGAGAGCTAAGAATGACGCTGCTGAACGCCTTGAATTCCTTGAAATGCACTGAGCAGTAGATCCACGTATCACTGCATTTTTTTCTGTCTCAGTGAAGCAGCAAAACAAAAAAGGACCTAGTCAAAGTCTTTCCTATGTTTGAAGGATACGGTATAGATGTGCGTGCTCATCCTATGGATGCTGCCTTTCAAGTGCATTTCAAGAGTTGGGTTCATTGCTTCATTTCTGTGTGATTCTGCTGAGCAGCTATTTTGTTATCTCAACCATCCTTTCTCGGGCTATTTTATATGTCAGACAACTTGAGTTTCACCTGTACATTTAGCAGTTTACTCACAGAGCAGATATTGCTGCCATAGTATTTGATAAAAGCTAAGAATAATAATTTATATTTTATGTATAAGCAAACTGATGGTTATAGACTAAGGAGGTGATTCAGCAGAATGCACAACCCCCTCCAGTCTGCTTATGCTCAAAATTTCAGCCCTGTGAACTGTTCTTCTGGCTAATCCATTATGTTTAAAATCCACCTGGACCAAACTTTCTGACAAAGAATTTGCCCAGGAAACTTTTAGGTGATTATTTTACAATGTAAATGCAGAAGACAGTGCCTGGAGCAAGAGCTCCAGGATCCAGATTTCTCCTTTCTGCAATAACAGGGTGAAAACACCAGGCTGCAGCCTTGCTATTTGTGAGCTCACCCTTTCTCAGCTCTGTTCTGCACGCTGAGGTCGCTTCAGCATGGGGAGGTGCCTTACCTTCCCCCCAGTCTCATTTCCTGCTCCTCTGTAATACCATGGGGCTTGCTGGCCAGGGGGCACTGGGGTGTGAACCTTGTGATGAAATCCCATGAGGCAGGATTTGAATTCCAGTCTTAGTCACTGGGACATAACGCAGAAGGGGGGGGGGGAGGTAAAAAATGGTACCTGCATGTTCTGGAAAAGATGCATGCTCGCTTCTGGGTGTGGAGGCTTGGGGACTGTGGCTAGTTATTTACTAAGGACGTGCCAAAATGTTAGGGGGAGCAGATGATTGAAGACCTATTCCTTGTATTACTTGCTGTTGTGTTTGCTGTTGCCTAAATGCAGGAAATTTGTCTTTCTGTGGCCTTCTGCCTCCTCAGCTCCCCAGGAGGCATCTTCTCCTGGGTGTCTGTGCTGGCTGCTCTCTGGGAGCTGTCCCAATGCAGGCCACAGAGCATCCCCAGGGGCAGCTGCTCTTTGGTGACCTGGGCTGTAAAGCTTGCCATTTTCATGCACTCAGATAAATAAAAGCTTTTACACTACTAAATACGTAATGTAAGCCTTTGCCAGTCTGGAGCTTTACCATTTCAGATAGGCTCTCCCCCCCCCTCCCCCCTCCCCCTCCCAGCATGGCAGTCATCAGAGGTGTGAAAGGGCAGTTTTAATGAATTTAACCACTGCACCCATATACATGTATGCCTCCTCCGCATGCATGGGAAGGAGAAGGGCCTTGCCACAAAAGGAGGTATTACTACAGCACCAGGGCAGAACCTGGTTTCATAAGCTGCCTCATAAGGTAGAAATTTACAATTTTAGAAACCAAGGATAGCAGCTGATTTTGGCAAATGGCAGAGTGTAGGTATATTGGGGTGACATAAAAATTGCATATGTGTATATGTTGTTGTTAATTGGATGATTTGTGTGTGCTTAGTGTTCGGTGTGCTCTCTGAGAGTTCTGCTTTGAGCAATGCGTTGTTTAAGTGATGAGGTTTGCTGCTGTAGTGTGGGCTAGAATCACCTCGGTGTGCCCCGTTACTTTAGGCTGCATGACAGAGCTGGCAGAGACTTGGTGTGTGGTTCAGAGAGATGCACATCTCCTGTACAAAGTGCGTTAATCATACAGCCGTACGCATGCTTTGATCTATTTTTTTTTTTTTAAATGCTGCTTTGGGGTATCCCCGTTTGCACCCGGACCTCCTACACAAAAGGCTCAAGCACGAATTTACTTCCCTGAAGCAGCGTAACCAGTCGTGCAGATCCACCACCGCTGCTGCAGCGCTGTCACATTTTAGAATTACTTCCTCACTGTACATCTGCACAGCCTGGCTCCCTTCCCCCCCCTCCGCCTTTCTTTCTTTGCTACCTGCAGCACTGCAAGCCCTGAGAGCAATGGGCAGACCCGAGAAATCCCCCAAACTCACTTAGCCGTGCAGCTACTCAGCAGAGCTCTCACAGCACTCAACATGTGCGCTGCTCGCCCTGCTGGGTTTTTTGACCTTTTTCTGTGGCCTATCATCATTTAGCACCCTGCGTCACGCTACCTCACAAACCCAAATAATGCGTTCTGGGATTAATTGCTGTGGTTCAGGGGCTCAGCCCAAAGTGCAGGGCAGAGGCTGCTGTACAACAGTCAAAGCTGATAATAAACCCCCAAGTGGAAAATTGAAAGAGGGCTGAGTTCTCTCCTCACCTCTACTCTCCTCTTCTTCTCCCCTCCCCTTTCTCCACACTTTCCTTTTCTCACTGCAAACTCAAACACTCAAAGAATATATATATATATACACA